CCCTGTCTCTAAATAAAATTCAAAAAATAGGGCTGGGGATGTGGCTCAGTGTCAAGTGTCCCCGAGTTCAATTCCTGGTACACCCCTCCCCCAAATTAGATAGGCACTTATTTAAAGACAACAAATTCTACCTTCAAAAATATATCCAGATTCTTTCTTTCCTTCCTTTTTTTTTTTTTTTTTTTTTGGAGTGCTAGGATCAAACCCATGACCTCATGCCTGCTAGGGAAGAGCTCTACCACTGAGCTACACCCTTAATCATTTCTGATCTGTCTGCTATTACCTTGGTCCAGCCACCATCATTTCTCCACAAATTACTGCAATGACCTCCTAGCTGGTCTCCCTGCTCTCATCTTTGACCCTTAGAGATTAATCTCAACTGAGCAGCCAGAATAATGCTTTCAAAATACTGGGTCTCTATGGGCCTTCTGGGAGACATTCCAACCCCACATGTAGCAGTTTTGTGCTTAATATTAAAATAAGTAATTATAACCCTACATGTAGCAGTTACGTATTTCAGGATTTGGAAAAGTTCTTTTGTGCTTAATATTAAAATAAGTAATTATTGAAAGATGAAAAAAAAATACTGTGTCTCTTCTCTGCTCCAAACCCACCAGTAACCCTCCATCTCACTTGGGAAAGGTCAAAATCTTTGCAAAAGTCCTAAAGGCCTTATGTAATCTCACTCCCAGCCCTTCTAGTCTTAGTCTTCTCCTGAACATTCTCTTTGCTCCAGCTGCATTGGTTCTTATGGCAGTTTCTAGAACATTCCAGATTTACTCCTGCCTCAAGGCCTTTGTACTCACAGCACTTCTGCCTGTAGTTCTCCTCTTCCTGGTTTTGGTGTTGGTGTGGCTCCATCCCTTGCCTTCTGCAGACACTGCTGAAGCTGCTCCAGAACTGAATCACTTTTTCACTATCTCTACCACTGCCACCCTGGTCCAAGCCTTTGCCCCCTCTTGTTTGGACAATACTACCAAGCTGATTTAATGTTAAGTCCCACCTGCCACAGTCCCTTTCTTCCTGCCATGAATCATTTTTTCTCCATAGAGTTTAATAACTTTGAACATATCATGCCTATTTTAGTTGCTTATGTAATACCTTTTCCGACTTCTTCCACTTGAATGTAAGTCCCATGAGGGCAGTTTTTGCCTGATTTGGAAACTGTTTGGTTCAGGAGAGTGACTGACCCATAACTAAATAACAGAATAAAGTAGTACAAACAGAATGTATAAAAAATGTCACATACTCGAGATAAGCAAAGGAATATATAAGGCTAACAGATGTGTTAAGAGCCTTGAAGTATATAGATACATTGAAGTAAGTACCAGTTGCAAAATGCTTCAATTTGGTACAGGACAACAGGTTTCGACTTGCTACATGAGAGACTTAGGAAGAACCTGCTATTAAATGGCCTAAATAAAAGGTTCTAGAACAAAACCTGTGGTCATACCATGGAGACGTGAAACAAGGGAGTAAGTCATGTCTGGCTGGTGGGCTCACTGTTTCAAGGTGGCAACCAGTTGAGAAAGGGCTGTGGGATGAGCTTGAGGATTTCTCAGGAGCCAACATTACTTCCTGAAGCACCCGAAGTGCCAAGTGTTTCCAAAGGGAAAATGTGGTATTAAAATAGGAACGACTGATTTGAAAATTGTTGATGGATCTGGGATGGTTTGATTGCCTCAAATTTACTGGAGAACACCTAGGGGAAATAAAACCAGGGCAGGCAGAGGGGCAGCTCAGCCTTGGTTGTACATGAGAATCACCTAGAAAGTTGTCAATGTATTGATGTCTGGTGTGGTTAAATCAGAATCCCTGGGGGAGGACCCAGGCCTGAGGTGTTTTGCAAAGGTCCTGGGGTGGGTGATTCCTGAGGTTGAGACCTATTCTCCAAGAAACATCTGTTTCCCTTTCTTGTGATTAAAAAGTAAAGCTGGGTACCAACTAAGGTCTGAGGGAAAATCCACAGTTTTACCTGACCCTACCAAGGAAGGCTCTGCTTACTTAGAATGATTTCAGGACCCAAGGAATTTATTTATTTTTTCATGCTAGGGATTGAACCAAGGAACTTGTGCATACTAAGCGCACAGGTTCTACCCACTAGAGCTACCCACCAGCCCCTGTATTTCAGGGAAGAAGAGGATCCTGAGCCTCATGAGGATTGAGAAATGGATAGGGTGGGCATGCAGACTGAGAAAGGGACCAAGAGATCTGAGGACAAAAGAGCATAAGGAAACCCGACAGACTCAGGGCAGTCGCAGTCTCTCTGGCTCTCAGTCTCTGTGGCTGCTCCCTCCATGTTCACTTCGCCTTGCCCTCTCCTCCTCCGGGACTCGACAGCCCACAGCACCATATCAGGACTGACAGGTTTCCCCATGTGGATCACCCTCCCTAGGGAAGAGCATGCTACATGGACAACACTGGGAGGGGTCTTAGGCCATAACTGCAGTTTCTATTTTGGAAGCCTGTGGCTGAGTATTTTCCCATGCAATCCAAGATCAACAGTCTTCTACCTGCCCTCTCTATCCTTCACTGCCAGGGTTATTTATATTTGCACCTATCTCCCTCCTGCACTGTAAACTGTGAGGGCAGAGACGGGGTTGCTCATCTGGGTACACCCAGCCCTTGACCTATTTGTCTGAGCTGTAATGGTTTTAACAGACAGAGTTTCACACACATAGCATGATTTACCCTCTGGAATAATTTCTGGATGTAGATGATGCTTTAGRCAAAAGAACTGTAATTCTGATGGGGTCCAAGTTTATTTGATAAATGCTTTATTTTAGAGTAACAGTGAATATTAATCTTTGTTAACAAAGCTCTCTTTACATATGAAGGAAAACACAACAACATGAGCTAATATTCGCTGTAATGTGCCTTGAAGGTGGCACCAGGAGCTAGCAGCACTTCCATGTACTATGTTGTTTAACACCCAAACAGCCCTAGGCTTGAGGTACTATAAGCCCATATTTACAAAATAAATTGAGATTTTGGAAGGTAAATATCCTGCCTGGGGTTACCTAGCATAGGAGGGGGCCTAGAATCAACCAAGGTCATTTGTGTTCAGAACCCATTATTTTAAGCCAAAAAATCTAACATTCCCATAGACAACCAAAAAACAGAATGGAATATTGAACTCAATTCTGATTGAACACAGGAATTAGTTAAGGAAAAAGGGTGTTCCTTTATTCTATAGAAGGATTTCTTAAAACTGGATGTGATACTATCTAAAACTTCCTACCAACTTATATCAGAGATACTTACTTTCAAGTTTGTATTACATTCAGATTATAATATAAACTCAAAAAAAAATTCTTTCACATTTATTTGATTTTCCATGGGCAGTAGCTCCTAACTCTTTGGCTTTAAATCTTTTAGATCTATAGCTTCTTAGGTGCTTAATAACATCCGAGAATTTAAAGGGTAGGCACTACTTTATCCAATATCTAAATGAGAGAATAGGCAGTCTATTTTCCTGTCAGGAAAGAACMCATTCAGCATGAAGTATATATATGTTTTTAATAAATAGTTTATAGTTTATCACTCAGTGTAAGAAACAATGATACACATGTTCAATCTTTATATCAATTGCTTAGTTTTTGAAAAATAAACATATCCTTAATTCTATTCACAGGTGATTCTAATATAAAAACAGATGAGCTGGGGCACTGTGGGGCCTGCCTATAATCCTAGCTACTCAGGAAGCTGAGACAGGAGGATCTCAAGTCCAAGGCCAGCCTGAGCAACTTGGAAAAACCCTATCTCCAAAAAACAAATTAATAAAAGTAATTTATATATAATATTATATATAATAAATGTATTTTCTCTTTTTACTGGTAGAGGGTGTAACTCAGCATGGTTCCCTAGTAGGTATAAGTAGGTATAAGGTCCTGGGTTCAATCCCCAGTACTTCAAACAAAACAAAACGAAGATGGGGCTTAGGTATAATCTTTCTAAAAATAAGGATGCATATTCTTAAAATACATGCTTCCTTCTCCTCTGCCATTTAATAAAATGCCTTATCATATGAGATATTGAGATATGCACAGTGACTATTTGAAAACCTTTCTGTGGCTAAGAATTTCCTAGTCTTTTTCAGATTATATTCTAAAAACAAATATATTTTAAAACAGGCTTCATTCCAGGTTTCCAAGCAAACACACTCAAATAGATTAATTAACATATCAGAGACTCAGACTGTTTTCAAATGCTATACTTAACACTGCTTATGATGTCACGCAAGTAATTTTGACTCAGTGAATATGTCAACAGGAAGGGGTCTGGCAGAAGCATAAAAATTCTGAACAAACTAATCCTGAGACTCAAGCAACTCCATTACCAGAAATGTTAGTTAAACCAAACAGCAGGGTGGCCAAAGAACATCCAGGAAAACCAGTGTTTTCAAGATTGTGGTTTCCTCATATAAGGGAACTATTATGCTCCCATTTGGATGTGGCACAAGGGGGCTCTTTGAAAGCATGGTATATTTCAATTAAAAATAAAATCTCAGTCCAGCTGAGAGAATACAAAGGTACTCTCAGTCATATGCTTGCATTCCTGAGATTCTCTATCTCCTGCTTACCCTCAGTAACATGCCCTATGGCCTCACCTCATATATTTTGTTTTAGCTTATAAAATATTCTAATGTGTCATAGTCCTTTGTTCATGTCCAAAATTTTTTCCCCTTATCTCGAAGAAGAGGTCTTCCTAAAATTTTGCAGAAATGAACATCATATCATGCATCTTCTAAACCACAACAGCCACAACCTAATGGTCCCATGACAACAGTTAGGCAGACCATTCAAAAGACATGATGTGCCCCTACTGAGGACACCAGCATTACATCAATAGATCTTAATAAAAAACTGAAAGGTAATTTTGTGAATTCTCTTCCCTAGAAATGATTACAGTCATTTTGTACATTTAAGGTGATATAAAGTCCTTTATCCAAAACAATATAGGCCAACAGTAAAGTTAATAAGAAATATACTTTTCATTACCTTATATGTATATGTTACTTCATTCAACATCTGCATTCCCAGAACTCTAAGTTTAGTCATAAGCAGCCACTTTAACCTAAAAAAAAATAAAAATAAATGTAAGTCATGTCTACTCACTGTTTTGTGTAATACAATGCAATGATTATGATGTAAGTTTTATAGCCAGAAAAATTTAGGTTTGCAATCTAGCTTTATAGCTATTAGCTGGTGATCTTGGGCAGGTTTTTAAACTCTTTAAATTATACACCCTTAGAAAAAAAACCAGTAAATACAAGTAAAACACAGTAAATACAAGTAAAATACAGTAAATACAATCATGGACTGCATTCTTAAAAAAAAATTTAGCTCTGGTTTTCTCGGGACTCTTAGATTCTAAAAGGTCTTTGTGTTTCTATGTCTGTTCCTCATGGAAATTGCCAATAAGTACCACCAAATCATGGTGCCCCCTTTAAAACGTTTGGTAATTTTTCTCCTTTTCTCAAGAGAGGCCAGTTTCTTTAAATCAACCATCTCTAACTCCATATGTAGCTGTCAAGACCTTGCAAAGTGTCAACCTGCCCCAATCCAGAGGTCCCAGGTTCCCACAGACAGTGTGGCTCTTGGAGCTTAATCAGTACCTATCATCTCTAGTGCATGACCCAAAGTTTTAAGGAAGGCTCCAAAGCTAAGACCAATGATAACATTATAACAACTCCTTAAGAACAAGGGCCCACCCTACCCGACACCTTATAGGTGGTTAGACCTGCTGCTGTGGAGTTGGAACTTTTGGAAAAGCTGCTCCCCTGACTGCTGCCATACAACAACATAGCTACCTTTCTGCGGTCTACAGGAAGCTGCACCTGTGGCTGAGGAAACCAGCAACAATCTGTGGGTTCCCTGAAGACAGACTTCCTGGAAGCTGAGTCATGGACCTCCCAGAACAGTCACTGAAGTGGCCTCATGTTGTATTTTTGTTATTAGTTACTTCTGTGCTCATGCGCTATTAGTGCCCTTAGCTAGAAGATAAAGCATCATGATGAGAGAGACAGCCTGTGGTCTCCCAATACCCAGCCCCTCCTTTTCACCTAATAACGGATGGGTACATGTTCCAGCCTCCTTGCAGGCAGATACGGCCATAAGACTCTGTCCTAGCCACTGGAATCTAAACAGCAAAGATAGATTCAACTCTCAATTGTGCGTTTAAAGAAACTTGTCCACATCTCCTTCTACCCACTTTTCAGATGGGATATAACCTCGGTATTAACTGCCTTCAATCAGATAAGTGAGAGATATGTACTAGCAATGGTGGAACAGTAAGACATCAGGAAGCTAAGTCCTTAACATCATATGAATATGCCTAGATTATTATGACAGAGAAAGATACAATGTCCTTTCTTAAGTCACCATGTGTGTGCCTGTGTGTGGTGAGAGGAGGTGGAGAGTCCCTCTGATAGCATTTGACATCACAGCCTAACTCTTGAGTCACATGGGCTGTGCTTCCCATGTTGGTGTAGGCAAATGCATTCAAGTGGTGGAGGAGAAGATGGAGGAGGAGAAGAGGGCATAGTATGCAGAGGGCATATTTTCCTGGTACTGACTTTAATCAAAAGATTTTTGGGCTAAAAGGAAATTTTGTATTAAAATCAAAAAGAATATAGAATCAAATGTAAAATTTGCATGCTTTTAAAAGGTAAAATATAGATATAAAATGAAATTTGGTCCTTTGAGCAGAATGCTTCCATCTCTATTCCCAAATTCCTGAAATATTCCTGAGAAAGTTACTGATGGAAACTATGAGAAACATTAGCTGAAGAGAGAAGATTTGACAGGAAGTCCGAGGTCTAGATCCAACTCTACTTCTGACTGTAATATATTATGCAAGTCCTCCTGCCCTGGTACTTCTACATACAAAACAAAGCCACATATGTAAATCTCCAGCGAAAACATTGTCATACATACACATATACTTATGCGTTACATGAAGATAAAGATGACTTAGGGTTGATTTTGGAAAGCAATGAGATGCCAAGGATCGTATTCTGGGAGTTATGGTATCCATGTGAATGCCATAAAGTCAGAAGGTGTCCATGACATGACCACTCTGCTGAGAAGTTGCATGGGTCCCATAGTTCACACAGATCTCCCAAGGGGCTTTTGGTCTCCTGTAGAACTTGTGTTCAAATATAATTGTTATGAAAACAGTTTTAAGAGGTAGAACTTATACTTAAGATTGAAAAAAAAAGAATATTAGTATGTTTGTACTTTGCTATTGAATAATAATTGTGCATCTTTATGGGATACAGTGTGATGTTTTGGTACATTTATACATTGCATGTTGATGATCTGAGAATACTAACTTATCCATCATCTCAAACATTTGTCATTTGTTTATGTTGAGTACAAACTTCTATTTTGAATTATATAAAAAGTATTATTAACTATAGCAAACTTCTATGTAATAGAACATCAACAATCTTCTTCCTATATGGCTATGACTTTGTAAACATTATGTTGTTTATATATTGTAGAGACTAATCCCTCATTGAAAAAATAGTATGCAAATAATAAAAAAAAGAGGTGGAACTTCTAAGAGGTTTGTTTAGGGCATTAACTCATTCATGAGGGTGGAATCTACTGCCCTTTGCTTGTGCGCTTGCTCTCTCTCTCTCTCTCACTCCCTTTCTCTTGCTTTCTTTGCTCTTCTGTCATGTAATTCCATCTACCACATGATAAAGGCTGCTGCCCGAGGCTGATGGCTTGATATTGGACTTCTCAACCTACAGACTGTGAACCAAAAATTTCTGTTCATTATCAATGACTGACTATGGTATTCAGTTACCAAATGGACTAAGATGTATGAAGACACAGTTATAGATGCCCATATATTTGGGGGAATTTTTCCAATCTGAAAGATATAAATAGAAAAAATACACAATCAAAGGAACAAAGAACATATATGTGAATCACAAGTAAGAGAAAAATACAAAAGCAGACAGCAGGAGTTCACATTTTAAAACCTTCAAACTCTAATTAATATTCTTAGCAAGCTAGTAGTTGATGTATGTTCATCAGAAAAAGCTTAGAAATTAAAAATCAAGCAATCAACCTAAGGGTTGGATTTTAATTTTGACAAAACTAATCTTAAAGTAGAATAAAAATGTGGGAGAAAAATTAGAAATCCAATAGTTGAAAAACAGAAATTTTCTAGAGTAAAAAGAAAATGAATGGAAGTTATCAAAGAAAGAGTGAAATAAAGTTTTTCCAAACGATTGAACTCAATATGAATTAATGAATTAATAAAGACCCACACCACTATGAAGTCTAGAACATTAGGGAGAGTGAAGATCCTAAAAGTTTTTGGCAGTGGGGTTAGGTCAGGTAAGAGGAATATAGAGAGAAAACACAGAACATTAGGTTTCTCAGCAACAATACTGAATGCTAGAAGATGGTTTTTATTAAATTTTATTAAATTACAATTTTTTTAATTAAATTCCTAATGGAAGGAGGTGTCAATTTGGAGTTCAATATCTAGTCAAACTAACTTTCTAATTGAAGAGTAGAATAAATAGAATATTTCAGACATTGAAGAACATAGATAATTTACTTTTATGCACTCTTTACTTTAAAAATACTGAAGTATTCTAAGGCAATACAAAGCCCCTTCCTTGGCCAGCTGTAATCCCAGATACTTAGAGGAGGCTGAGTGAGGCAGGAGGATTTAAAGTTTTGAGATGAGCTGGACAATTCAGTGAGACCTTGTCTTAAAATAAAATAATGGTAGGGGATGTAGCTCAGTGGTACAGTGTCCCTGGGTTTGATCCCCAGAACCACAAAAATACATATATACATAAAAATAAATAGATAAATAAGTTCCTCCTCTGAATTCCAGACTTAACTAGATATTTCAAAATTAATTAGTTAAATAAGTAGGTACCCAAAATTTATTCACTTCCTTCCCAAATCTGCTGTTCTCACAATCCTCCACATTTTAGTCAATAGGAAATCTGCAATTGCATTTCCTTTGATTCAAAATCTTGGAGTCAATTTTGACTTCCTTCTCTCACACACAGTTCTATTCTGTCAGCAAGGCCTATTGGCTCAACCTTAAACTACATCCAAAAACTCAACAGTTCTCACTACCTGAACTGCTATAGCCCAAGTCACCAGCAGGTCTCATTTGGTGTCTACAGCACGTTCCTAACTATTCCCTATGCTTCCATCTTTGCCTCCTACAATTTTCTCTACCACTGTTTGTCAAAACAGTGGGAATTAGAGAAGTCAAAATTATTTTCATAAAATACTATATATTACCTTGCTTTTAAATTTACTTTCCAGTGAGTGAACAGAGAAGTTTTCTAGAGGCTAGAGAGGACATGTGAATGAACAGATCAAATGCCAGACACAGAGGTGATGTGCAGAATTTATACTGCTATCTTCTCACTTCATTTGTTTTGAAAAATATAGTCATTTTCATAAAAATGTTATTTGCATTAATATCTAGTGGCTTAATTATTATTTTAAAATAGACATCAGTTTTAAATTTCACATACAGTAAATATCTACAGGAAAAAAAACCTATATAAAGCTCTTTGGAATCTTTAATAATTTAAGAGTAYAAAGGCCCTGAGACAAATGTTGATAAGAATTGCTCTATGCTGCAGCCAAAGTGATCCTTTCAAAATCCAAGTTAGATTAAGACTCTTATATGCTCAGAACCCTCTAGTGGCTCCTCATCTCATTCAAAATAGAGGTGGACAAGACACTTTCAAGCCTACCCGATACATCCTTATGTTTGCTATCCTACTGAGAGGATCTCCTTCCTTCAGATGTGGGTAATCTTTCTTCCTCTTACATGTCTTTGCTTTATGAGCCAGATTTTTAATTGTGCCCCTTTCCAAATACTGAAATGCTTACAAATGCATTCCTGTTCTGTGATAATGCTACTCCACATTGTGGTGCATTTGTTTACCCTCTCTCTTCTTTCACAGTGTCAGTCTGCAGGATCAGTGGCTGTGATCAATCTGCTCAAAGGCTAGTGGACCTGGTGGTTTGTACCCAGTGTGGTCTCAAATTATCAGCACCAGGCTGATTTCAAGA